CCACTCATGCACTAAAACGTAACTGCAGACACATGGAGCTTTTCTGTCAACCCATGGGTATTTTAAGTGCTTACAAGTCACAAATCTGTTTACACAATGGAGAAGGAAGTAACTGAGAGAACGCAGGGTTGAGAGAATGAGAGAGATTCAGGAAGTTCACTTTCCCCCAACTTGGAGATCAAAGACCTAAACTTTGGGAAACTAACGTTGATTGAGATTTCATTTCTTGTATCTGTAAAATGAAACTCTATGATTGGAGCCCATTTTTGAGACACATAAATGTATCCATCTTGAAAAATATCTGTATGCACACCAAATTGTAGAATATGCTGAGCCACACACATAACAGTAATGTGAGTCAAAATTAAGAGATGAAATCTGCTATGTATAGCAAAGTCCAAGTTAATATTTTTGTTTCAGAATACAAGAGTAACTTCTAGCCCTGAGTACAAATTTCATGGTGTATTTGTCATATTTATATGCTAATACTGTGGGAGAAAGATGAGGCAATCTCTTTCTGTAAAGATTTGCAGCCTTGGAAAACCTACGGGGCATTTCTTCTATGTCTCATAGGGTCTCTATGAGTTGGAATCAACTTGAAGGCACTGGGTATGGTTTTCAGTTGGGGAAAACAAAGGCAGATTCATGTGTCAGGAAATTAATGATGTTCTTAGGATTAAGTATTAGCTGATAAGAGGCCTAGCCTTGATTACCTGTATTAGAACAGAAAAATGTTGACTGTGTTTGGCCCCCTGCTGTGGAATGTATGGGAATTCTAACTTACTTATCTTTAGTGTGGAGAGAGTTTGTTTCTCCTGAGGAATTGATATAATCATTCCATTAGATAATTGGAACTTTGTAACTCTTGTTTCATTTTTTGCCTTGGCTGCCAAGAGTCTCAGAACTAAATTTAATACTATGTTAAAACCCCTGTCACATCCCGGGTTTCTTGAACAATTACATTTTCATTGCCTTTGCTATTCCTAGTTTATCTTTTTGATTTAATTTTTAATTGTCCAATTGTACATATGGTTACTATCAGCTACCTCAAATTGTTTATGAACTATTAACTATCATAAGCTATTAATGCAAACAAAATATATATGACTAACTTATCATTTGTTCAAAAACATACTTTTTGAAATAAGGTAGAAAATCCAATAAAATAAGTAATGTAACTTTCACTCCTATCCCCCAAAACTTAAATAAGATCTTAAATTGTGAATTCTTTTTTTCAAATTGTTGTTTTCTTTCCCAAATATCACCTAGTGCTTGATTCTTCTCTATTATTCCTGATTTCTTACAAACATACAACCCTGTATCTGTCATGGCAGAGTAGGAAAAAAGCAGTCTGCTCCAGCAAATATCATGGAGAGGCAAAACCTTATTGAAGATGCATGTTTAACACCAAGAGATTACTATACTGTATGTCCTACAAAGCAATAAAATAGTATATTAAATTTTTAATTTTCTTAGAAAATTTATTTATGTTACAAAGGGACTAAATAATAGGGATCATTTTATCGCTTGGAGTTCATTTTTTTTTTTTTTTAAATTCTGAATTTTTACATTATCAATTCCCCACATTTGCCTCAAGTTATTACTATTATTATTATGTTTAAATAGGTATTTCAACATACTAAAATGACATATCTTTACTCGCTTGTGAATTGATGCGATGTATGAGTAAAGTGTAATCATGACCTTAAGTAGAATACTTTCATTAAAAAATATATTGTTAACAGATTAAAAAGGGCAGATAATTTCATGGAAAACAAATCCAAGGGTGCCACACTTTGGTCTAATTTAGAAGAGGACTAATGTTCTGCATCTCAGCCGGACTTTAAAAGAAAACATGAAAGTTACAATTGTGTTTGTGGTGTGTGTGCATGTATTTACCTTTATAAACAGATGTCAGCAGAGAAAAAATTTTGTAATCAGTAAGCCTTTTAGGACCAGAAAACTAAAGCCTGATATAACTGAAATCTTACAAATTTAAATATAAATAATCATTAAATGTTAATGTATAAATAAGTCTCATCTATCATAACAAGCAAGGAGCTCTGGTGGCGTAGTTCCTAAGGCATTTGAGTGCTAACCAGAAGGCCGGCAGTTCAAACCCACCAGCCAGTCCTCCGAAGGAAGTTTGGATGATCTACTTCCATAGAGATATTGCCTCGGAAACCCAAGGAGGGGTCACTATGAGTTGGATCTGACTCCACGACAGTGTGTTTGGTTTTTGATTTATCATAACAAGTACATTTTTAATTTAAGAAATTTGAATGTCATTGTTTGGTTGCAAACTACTGACAACACGCAGACTTCAAAAAATAAAACTTAAAAATTCTTACTTGGATTTCTCTCAAGAGAAGGTTTATATAGTGACATAGGTTTGGAATGGCAACTGATTAGTGGCAGAGAGGAAACTAGAACCTGTGTCTCCTAAGAAACAGTTCTTTTTTCATACACATTACTTACTGTCCTGGAGTCAGATCTGACTCATAGCGACTCCTTGGGTTTCCCAGTCAGTATCACTACCTAAGTAGATTGCTCAACCTTTCTTCCAAGGAGTGGCTGATGGGTTTGAACTACCAGCCTTCTGGTTAGTAGTCAAATGCCTTAGGCACTATGCTCATTACATCTCTTAATTAACCATTTTTATTAAAATTATAACACTTCTCATAATTATGTACAATATGACACATGGTGAAAAATGATAAATCATTTTAAAATTAATAACTTTTTTGGAAAAAATTATCAACTTGAATATTTCTATGCATCTTCCTTAAAATTCCATCTAATTAGCTCCTTTAAGATGGGGAAGACAAGGGTCAGGCAATCTAAATGCATTATTTAAAAAATAACAAACCAAACCTTGATTCTAAGATTCAAGTTATTTCTAGCATTAGCATTATACTTCAAAAGGAAAATGATAAGTTGATGTATTCAAGACACATCAAATCCACATTTAAGTACCATTTTCTTTTAAGAAAGAAAAGATATTTCATATACATGTATGTATACCTCTTGGGGACACATCAATATATATCTTTTATTTTCAATAAGTATTTTAGCAGAATTCAACTTGGTTAAGATACAAATGTTTGAAATAATTTTTTGGAATGGAAATGTCATGATTTTTCTTGCAAAATTGTGGTTGTGGAATTATATCTAGTTGATTAGAATACTGTTTTGTGAAATACAATAATTTCTTTTGGTAACATGATGAAATTTTACTGATTGATCAAGAGATGATTAGGGGAAAATTAAATTTTACTCATGGTTTACTAACTTGTTTTCCATTAAAAATAAAAATAAAGCACATTTCAAAATTTTTTATTACATTTTTACATACAGAACACTGCCTAAAGTAATATAAGCATTTAAAATAAGCTACTTATTTATTTTACATAATTCAGTGATTTACTATTTTATACAGTAACAATGATAATATAAGAAATTAACTATCATAGTTTAAGCTACTAGATTTCCTAAAACGAATAAATGACCCATCACTCCATTGGTATGTAACAGACAAAGTCTGATCACCATTTCAGGATGAACACTCATTTAAAATTCCCTGCCTTCTTAAATGCTAGCATGGGGACTTTTAGAGTAATTTATAGTTTTCCCCCTGATTTTACTAAGGAACAATCAAAATTGTTGCTTGATTTCATTCATCAATTAAGTTCATCTGAAAATAAAATAAAATGTAAGGCAGAGAGAAAAGGTCACCCTGAGGGTCTGTAGTCACACCTGCTTTGGAATCAGAGTTTTGATTAAATATGTCTCATTATTGGTGGTTTGTTATATGGGAAAAACCTTAGCCTTTGCAATCTACTTTGTGAAAAACCTAACTCACCATAACTGAAACCTTCCTGTTGAAAGGTAAATTGCATTCATATTATAGAGAAGAAAATGCTTTCTTAGAAATAAAATAAAAAAAAAAACAAAAAAACAACCCACTAAAGACTGATCTGTAAATGACTTTCAGTCATAGGTATGTAAGATATAATTTTTCTGCAATGCATTTTTAGCAATAATTACCCAACAACATTATATTCTAGATGTTTTTTACACTCATCACTTTTAAAGACCTGAAATCACAGTATTTACAAGGATAATATAATCATTTAAGTTGCAAAGTCTCATTAGCTTGATAAGTCCTGGACTTTCACCTCCAGATGTAACCCCATCCTGCAGCTGTCTAGCTGCCATGCAGCTGTCTAGCTGCCAAGAGAAGGCTTTGTTTCCTATGCTGAACTCTGTTAAATTATAGAAGTAGTGCTAGTACAAAAAGGTCAATAGGCCACATTTTAATTTAGCATCCATGATTGACCATCCTGCAGCTACCAGAATGAGAAAATTGGCAAGTAGAAATAAACCTTCGCAATAAAACAGTGGGGGTTTTTAGTGAGTTGTCAGTGGGCTGAGTACTCTACATGCATATGAAGGAAAGTGAATTTAAGGCTACTGTTAATTTGTGTCATCTTATGTATATCGTAAATTCTGCCCCATGAAATAGAGAGGCTTATACGTTGAAAAGCCTCTCTATTTCATGGTGTAGAATTTATGATATACATAAGATGACACAAATTAAAACTAGCCTTAAATTAAAAGGAGCTCTGGTAGCATAATGCCTAAGGCACTTGACTGCTAACCAGAAGGCTGGAGGTTCAAGCCTACCAGCCACTCTTCGGAAGGAAGGTTGGGCAATCTACTTCTGCAGTGATACTGTCTCAGAAACCCAAGGAGGGGTCGCTATGAGTCAGGTCTGACTCCATGGCACATAACAACAACAACAGACGTTGAAAACCTGTACAAGAGAAAAAAAAATGAGTGTACATGAGAGAAGAAAAGGAAAATAGCTATGTACTGTTTCCCAAGAACACTTAACCATTCATTTTCATCATTTGGCTTGAGTCTCTAAATAAGGCCTGTTTAGACAATGCGGTTATCAAGTCCTTTCAATTACATTGTGAAAAAAATGCAGGCATTACCTTCTGTGTCTTGCATATTTGCCACTAACATGACCACTGCCATCACAGCCAGGAGTGGGACAGCTGCAACAAGAAAGAATTAATTACACAGGTGTCGGTGTGCTGCAGACAGATTATACTGAAAGCTTCAGTGGGCATTAGAGAGAAGAAGGGCAACAAAGGCAGAAAGAGAGAAATCAAATCACTGAAAGGAGGGAAAAATTACGGGATGCTTTTTATTAGCAAGTCTCAGGGGAATTAATTTCATCAGTGCAGCAGGGCATGAGCAAACCACCAATGAACTTGAAAGTGCATTATACCCATTAAAAGGCATGAATTTTCTAAATTGCTAATGGGGATACATTTTACCCGCAGAGCACTAACCTGAACAGCTCTTGTATGGCTGGTTCCACGGGAACTGCAGAGAGATGGAAAATATATAAAAATTTATCATCTATTACAAGTACTCCTCTTCTACAGAAAATTACCAAAAAGGTTGTGTAAAAGCAGGGGTCAGAATGAATCGTGCAATGAGATTCTGCGGGATGAAGGTCACCCTGAGCTGGGCCTCCAGTGATTTAGTGAAGCGGCAGACGTACCTCGAACACCTTTGGAGCGTGTGCGATGGCGCTTCTCCTCGGTATCCACCTCCATCTGGGAATAGATTAGCAGGCAGTCAATGTTCTTATCCTGCATGCACAGACTATCAATGCATGGAGCAGTGCACTCTCCCTGGCATTTTATTGACACGATTTTAATCCTGTTTCACTCTGTAAAGGGAAGCCCTCTACAAGGGTGGGGCTGGGGAAGACAAGGGTCAGGCAATCTAAATGTATTATTTTAAAAATAATAAACCAAACTTTGGTCTTGCAGGGAACATTTAATCAGAAAGTCCATGTACTCGATAATAGGACAGAAGTTGATGCACCTTGAAGTCCAACATATTTTTTCTCTTTTAAAGGATTTAATTATAACACAATTGGGGGGGCGGGTTTCTGAGCTATAATTTGTACCAAGAATATAATATTAAAAAAAAAAAAAAACAAACTCACTGCCATTAAGTCCATTCCAACTCACAGTCACCCCCCTTGGGTTTCTGAGGCAGTAAATCTTTACAGAAGTAGATTGCTCAGTCTGCCTTCCCAGGAGTGGCTGGGGGATTTGAACTGCCAACCTTCTGGTTAGCAGTGAAATGCCTTAGGCACTACGCCACCAGAGCTCCAAGAATATAATAGATAGCTGCAAAGTTTGTAAGTCAGTAAAAAAAAAAAAAAAAAAAAAAAAGCCCAGCTTCTCCTTGTAGCTGAAAGCTTTACTAGATTAAATACTTAAGAAGAAAGGAGGTAGATGCAGTGAAACCTGTGAGAGGCAAAACACACCAGCACTGTTTTGTTTCTTCTGGGTCTTGCAAGTTTTCTGCCTTAAACAGGGTGCAATTTTACCACTTTTCCGTCACTCTCTATTACTGGAAAATATTTGCATTTTCCTTCTGACACTTTCCCACCTTGCACAGGTTCTGGCTTTCATAGTTTTTTTTTTTTTTTTCTTCTTGTATGGTAGTAGGACAATATTTTTATCACTGGGAGCTTACTTCCATTGTTATCTAAGTCCTGGAATATAATTGTCATTCATGTTTATCCAAATTAATAGTTTTTTTTTTTTTTTTCAGGGACCTAGACTCTTTATCATAGTAACTGGCACCTGTCACATACATATCAGAGATTACCAAGTATTTTCATGTATTATCTTGTTTGATTTTCACCACAGTTTTGCGAGGAAATTGTATTTATCATATCTATTTTGTGGATGACAAAACTGAAATTCAGACCATCTGACTTGCCCTAGATCATCTGGGTAAAAGGTTTTAGTCTAGGGACCTGAAACCAAGCCATCTGTCTTGAAATGCCATCTTTAAACAACAGGAACACATTGTCACATCGATGAACATGTATATTTGTATATCACATGTTTCTCCAATATATGAGTGATTTACAAAATGATTTACAAATGGCAAAACTGCATAGTAGGAGAATTCTACTCATTATAACAGAGGGGCTGGTAAGAGATGAGCAGTAATAATGACAGCTCATCTTGACCAGATTACAGGAACACAACTTTCCAACTCCCATCTGTGATTTCTTTGTCTTGTCTAATACAGCCCCAGCTGAATTACTAGGCATACCTACACACAGTTTACCACATCCTAGACATCAAAGCCACTTTCTCCACTGTGTATGAAAAGAATGGTCAGAATGCAGCCAAGAGGACTCTAGTTAGATGCACATGGCTCTATTAAATGCACATGCTCTTATAGCAATAAGGTAGACCTACTATTACAGCTCTGGTAGCATAGTGCCTAAGGCACTTGACTGCTAACCAGAAGGCTGGCAGTTCAAACCCTCACTCCTCAGAAGGAATGTTGGGCAATTTACTTCCGTAGTGATACTGCCTGGGAAACCCAAGGAGGGGTCGCTATGAGTCGGGTCCGACTCGACGGCACATAACAACAACAACTATTACAGTAAATAATTAACAAGGCATGATTCTCAACAGATATAATACTAAGACATCATAAAGTCATATTGGCCACTCCTGATTGAATGTTAAATCAATTAACATGAAATTAGTATTTACTAACACAGTATACTGAGTATTGTGTCAGGGGATACAAAGATTATATATAATCAGAAACATAAGTGCATTTAATGAGCCTAATATCTTTTAGCAGGAAACATATATGAACAGATATAATAAATGTACCAGATTTAATATAATAAGAGGCAGTTCAGAAAAGGAGGCACTAATGTGAGCTCCATCATCTAGGGACTTCTCAGGAGAAGGTATGATAGTTAAGAATTATTTGTTTAGGTATCGATTAGAGGAAAGGAGACTATATATTTGCATAGAGGTACTAGACAGCTAGTTGGGAAATGAGTGAATTAATTCATTTGTTGGGAAAATAGAGACGTCTCAGTGACTGAAAACCCTATGTAGCTCAGATCTGCTCTGACACACATGGGGCCACCATGAGTCAGAATTGACTGCAAGACAACATGTTGGAAGGTTTCAGGGCAAGGAATTGCCTCATAGGGAGGAGGAGTGCTTGAGTTAAGGGCCACATGGAGCATTAGAAGGGGACACTATGAGAGCCTGGAAAGATAGTAGTGGCAGGGGAGCTTACAATTAATGCAGTTAGATATACAGCTGTTATAGTTACTCAAGAGCATGGGTGATGAGTCAAAAGAATATTTTAGAAACAATTAATGTAGCAGAAGTTAGAAAGAGAGTTTGAAAGAGGAACAGGAATGGAACCAGAGAAAAAGTTAGGAGCAGATTGATAGTTATGTGAGAAACAGGGATAGATAGTGGCCTGAATTAAATGTGCAATTTTGTTTCATTGTTGTCAAATTCCAGGATTATTATTGTACAGGGAAGAAAGAAATAAGAAGAAAGACAGGGCTTTAAGAAACATTTTGAAGGAAGGGTAAATCCAATCTAGTGGCTTATTAGATTTCTTTTGGGTGATCTGACATTTTTCTATTTTTTAAGCTTATGCTTTGGGTATGGAATCTCTGCATGCAAGCACATTTTGTGGGTTTATAATAGAAATAAATAGCACCCCTTGGTAATACACCGATGCTCTAAACTTGCTACTCCACATGGAAACATTTAAAAATACCATAAAACTTTTAGCAAAGCTATGTAGAGCCATTATGATATGAGGCAAAGTGTATGTTAACATTCAAGAAGCCTACAGCAATGGAAAAAATTCCATTTTACATTCTCTAGGAAAAGTACTCTGATGTACAGAGTACTTGTTATAGGACTGAAGAATCAGAGATAATGGATTGAGTCCTACGCTTTAAAAAAGATCAAAATTGAATTAAAACTTTTTGTTAGGGGAGAAAAACTGAGAAACATTCTCAATTCAGGGCATCCAACCCATGCTGGGGAAGTAGAATGAGAGTCTTCTTGTAGGACTTGATACTTCAGTTGATTTTTAAAGGTTAAGTGAAGGCTTCAAGGAGTCCTGGGTAGGGTAAAGAGTCAGTGTGCTAGTCAGCTAAATGAAAGTTTCGAGGTTTGAGTCCATTCACAGGAGTCTCAGCAGAAAGGCCTGGGATCTTTGTAAACACTACTCTGGCACACATGGGGTTGTCATATATCAGGCCTGACTCAACAAAAAGTGGCTTAAAGTTCTCAAGTTTAACAAAAAGGGATGGGGCAAAACATGTTCCAGGTAGAGGAACTAGGATGTAAAAAGACAGAAAGGTTTGAAGGCACTGTGGTATGTTCCAGGGGAGGCAAAATTTGTACTTTGAGATAAAGAAGGGCCAAGTCAGGGACTTTGGTACTAGATTTCCTTCAATAGAGCAGAGGCTTATCATAGTTACTAGCAGAGATGGAGGCCCATCACATTATCTCAACAAATCTGTTTGCTTACGTGTACTTAATACTGCGTCTGGTAAATAAAGCTACATTTTATAATGCCACTGGCTATCTTTTTGGAGAGAATTTGTGACCAAAATGATAGTGAAGTTAGTTTCTCTGTGTGGGTATTAGGTTTAAAAACTTGATTTCATGCCTAATTGCTTTTATTTTTGGATAAGAATTGTTTTCTTTTTTACATATAAATTCTTAATCCATTAGAAATTTTTATTTTTGTATATTTTTTTTGCATGTAAGGAGTTAATCTTACTTTCTGTCAGATGCATAGCTAATTCTGCCTAATCACTTATTAAATGGGGTATGGCTTTCCCACTGCCCTAAAATACCCCTCTTGTAATGTATTAAATTTGTGCCAAGATTGGGTCTGTTTTTGGACTCTATTCTGTTCCACATACCATTTATTCCAGTGCTAATACTCTTTGGATTATAGTGGCTTTATAAATGTTTTACTCTCTGATAAATAAGCACCCCTCTTGGGGTGAAAATTATGAGCTATGAGTTGGAATCGACTCAATGGCAGTTTTTTTTTTTTTTTTTTTAAATGTGGCATAGTGTCCAACATATAACCCAATTCACTGCCATTGAGTTGATTCTGACTCATAGTGACCCTGTAGGGCACAATAGAACTGTCCAATAGATAGGGTTTCTAAGGCTGCTTCTTTTTCTCCCATAGAACAGCTGGTGGGTTCCAACTTTTTGGTTAGCAGCCCAATATGCAACATATAAAAACCAAACCCACTGCCATTCAATGGATTCAACTCATAGTGACCCCATTGGATTTCTGAGGTGGTAGATCTTTACAGAAGTAGATTGCCTCATGTTCCTTCCCTGGAGTGGCTGGTGGGTTTGAATTACCAACCTTCTAGTTAGCAGTCAAATGCCTTAGGTACTGCACCACCAGAGCTTCTTATGCAACATATGTTGTTGTTGTTGTTATGTGCCGTTGAGTCGGACCTGACTCATAGCAACCCCTCCTTGGGTTTCCGAGGCAGTATCATTACGGAAGTAGATTGCCTCATCTTCCTTCTGAGGAGTGGTTGGTGGGTTTGAACCGCCAGCCTTCTGGTTAGCAGTCAAGTGTCTTAAGCACTACGCTACCAGAGCTCCTATCAACGCTATTTTACAATTAATTTTTACACAAATGTTAAAAGAAAAAGTGCATAGAGGTAAGGATTAATCAGAAGCATAAAAATACATGGTCCAAA